TGTGTGTGTGTGTGTGTGTGTGAAAAACCAAACATTCAAGATGAGGCTTTTGGAAAAGAAGGATTTGTGTATTCGGATGATTTTCTGGAAAACGTGTAAGTAGGACAGTGGAACACCTGCAGCTTCCCACCTGTTCACCTTTTCATTTCCAAGATCTGAACTATTCCTGCTGCTGTGACCTTCTGAGGTCAGATGAGTGGAGCTGCTCCACAAGTGCCAAATGATGAAAACACGCTTCCAACAAGACAAATATTTGTTGACCCACACAATGTACTGCAGTGCAGGGGAAAAGTTTTATAATACATCCTACATGTTCATGACAAGTGGATCAGTGTTATGAGTCATGCTCTTTCCATACGAGACAGGCACTTCATGTCCCATATTCTTAATTATGTAATCATATTCCGAAACACGCACACATGCAGAACTACTGTGCTTCCTTCCTCCCACATGTTAAACCCTGTGGAGTTCACAATGTGGAGCACCAAATGAGATCATGTCTCATGTGGAGCAGAGAGACTCAAATCAACGAAAGGCATTAAATCAAATCAGATCAATGAGTGTTCGTGAGGATCAACTGATTGACTGGTCAAGTGCATTCACACCAATATTCCTGCTGTGTACTTCACCACAATATGCACATTATGATGCAGCTTTTGCTTTATATCCCAACAGATTATATTAATCTGTCACACACCAGCATTAGAAACTACTTTGGCAACAACTTTTCTTGTATCCTCCTTTGCCCTGTTTATACCTAATAAGAGGAGACAGGTAACGCAGGAGGTGCTTAAGGTCATTATATCTGCATGATAATGAACCACTTCACACATACTTTAGGTGATAGAAGTTTCTGCAGTAATAAATAGATTGACAAAATAGGATGGGCCTGATTCTCGGCTGGCAACTCTGGGGAGCTTGGACCGGAATAGACTGGAATGAGTTCAATTCTCTGTCGGAATTAGAGAGAAAGTCTGAATTTGGAGCACGAGGAAGAAGGAGGGAGATTTTCTTTGTTGGTTTCATGGAATGGTGATGGAAATCACAAAAACGTAAAACAGATGTGGGACGAAAGTTACAGATGGACAAAGTGTCATAAACATCATACCATTAGTGTGCAGCACAGAATCCATAGCTGCGACCTGTCTACCTTTACGAGAACCATGTGCACATATATGCACACTCTTATATGAAGACCTGTGTGTTAGAGCATGTATGTCTACACATGTATCCCTTTGTCTGAGGACACGTGTCACTTTTAGGGTCCAGATTTGTATTATATGTGTGTAATTGTATGTTTCCCTCGGCTGCTGAGCTGGCAAGAGGACAATGCCTGTCATGATGCAACAGGCAGCTAATCCTCTCCTTATGTAAACACTTGACTGCTACTCAAATGACATGCAGATGGGATAGAGAGCTTAAGGTTTGGCAAGATAGTGTCATACCAAGGAATGTCTGTGGAGAAGAGAGACAATGTGCTGTCAGCATTTGGATGATTACTGCTGCTCTTTGAGGACTGGTGAGAGATTGGCGCATGTATATGAGCATCTGCCAAAGCTTGGTTAGCCTTGCGCGGTGGGGATCCAGGAAGGAATGAGTGCAAGGACCCGCAACATGATTTATACATATTTTACCACCAGTAGAAAACATTGTGCAAGTCCAGAGGAAGGTTGAAATTGATTTAGGGATAGCTGCAGGGTCACTGAATAAGAAAATTCCAAGTAAAAAAAAATTGCATTCATTTACAGTCCTCATTGAAGATCGTTTATCATCCAATAACTCTTCACCATGAGAGACCAACAAGAGCTAAGCTCTGGTAGGAACAAGTAGCCACCAAAATGGCTTGTGATCGACTATAGGACAATAACCTGGTTCTGATCAACCTGCAGTGGGCCTGCCTCAGTGGACACAAGTGAGAACGTGTCCCAAAAACTTCCCAGCACCAGAATAGCCACAGTCAATAAGAGTGTTGATCCACAGGGATTGTAACACTAAGTCCTAACAATCAATTGTACCATCCTCCATTACTATTATATAAAAAGTATATCTTTTAATACTATAAAAAATATAATATTTGTCACATTATACTGTGTTTTTTCTTATGTCCTTTTTTCTTATCTCCCCCACAGACTCACCATCATTCCAAGAGACCATCCGTTTGAAGCACTCACAGCTGAAGCCTACACACAGAGTATGAGGACAAGTTGTGTCACCCCACATCGCAGCCCAACAAGATATGACTTCACATGGGTCCCGTGCTAATCACCATGACGACCATAAAGCTGTGACTGTTACTGTGAAGCCGTCGCCCCTTTTAAACACTGACCCCAGACCTTCCTCCTATTTGGAAACCCTTGTCGCTTTCCTTTCTCCTGCAAACGTAATCTTTTCCTTAACCTGCCCGCCCTCACTTTTCTCCCCTTAGTAATTACAGATTCCTGGTCTTTCTTCTACTTTTCTTCGGCATCATGCAAGGTGCTTCTACCACCTCCATTCTGCTTATTCTTCCCTACCTCCTATTCTTCTCCTACTTGCCCAACATGGCTAGCGGAGACTGCTGGCTCATTGAGGGGGACAAAGGCTATGTGTGGCTGGCTATCTGCAGTCAGAATCAGCCGCCTTACGAGACAATCCCGCAGCACATCAACAACACGGTCCATGACTTGAGATTGAACGAGAACAAGCTGAAAGCTGTGCTCTTTAGCTCCATGTACCGCTTCACCAATCTGACTGACCTTAACCTCACCAAAAATGAAATCAGCTACATTGAGGACGGAGCCTTCGCAGGACAAGCCAACCTACAGGTAAAGGGAATGGATGGAAAAAGTTTAATGCAGGAATGTAATGCAACATGTTTAATAATTAGACTTTAGTTTGGGACAAGATTTGTCACTTAGCTAGAGCATGAGTACGAGACTGGTTTATTTTGGCAAAGAGATGCTTATTCCTTTTTTTCTATTTTCACAAAATAAAAATAAAAAGTCTAATGCCACATTCCAAGACAGTACAAGATTTTTTTTTTTTATCTTTATGGACAAATATACAAATAAATAATTAAATATGTGCTATCTACACATTGGACTAAGCCAGATTTTGTCGACATATTGAAGTTAAATGTTTTTATAGATAATTCTGTTTGTCTTATCTTAATCACTCCCTGAATTAAAAACTACTGTCAATAACCATAAAACACCTTCAGAATACAGGAATACGGGAACGTTACAATCATGAGCGTATGAGATTTCTGGCACAGAGTCTGAGAAAAAACTCATTGTGATAAAATGGCCTTTAAAGATATGTATTGTAAATATCCATACTTAAGTGGAAGTGTATTTTGGTACAATTTCTTTTCACAGCATTTTATGGAGGCAAAATAGCAGATGATCTCAAAATTGCCCAGTGCATGAAAATGTTGTTCCTGTTTAGCTTTTACTCAACAATTATGTCTGACATCATAACAGCGACATGTAAAGAAGTGACAAAAACAACCATACCCTAAAACCTCTTCCTTTCTGTCTTCTTTAGGTTTTACAGTTGGGCTACAACAAGTTGACAAACTTAACTGAGGGTATGATGAGAGGGCTGGGCCGCATGCAATGTCTTTTCCTCCAGCACAACCTCATTGAGGTAATTGCCAGCAATGCATTCTGGGAGTGCCCTAGCCTCAGCAGCATTGACCTGTCATCCAACAAACTTGCCCGCATTGATCCATCCACTTTCACTGTTCTAATGCGGCTAATGGTTTGTGAGCTGGCAGCAAATCCATTCCATTGTGGATGCGATCTTTACAGTTTCCTAACCTGGTTGGAATCCTTTAACAACGTCACACACACCTATGACCGTCTCCAGTGTGAGACACCGAGAGAGATGTTTGGCTACCCCTTACTAAGTCCTATAGCTGCCGGCCATGCTGGTCGAAATGCCAAAAACATATTGTACCATCACTGCCGGGATGGAGTTATGATTCCAGGGATGACCTCTCTCCCACCAGATCTGGATGGTTCTTCCGGGATCGGCCCAGAGATGTTTGGCGGTGCTGGGCCGTACCACCATTCCACCACCTCTTCATCATCTACTGAACTTGTTGTTCCAAGCATCAAGCTCCATCATGTCTCTTTATCATCAGCCTCTCTCCTTGTGCAGATTCCAAGGCCCTACAGCAAGATGTATATTCTAACACAATACAACCAAACATTTGTTTCTGATGTCATGAATTTGAAGAACAAGAAGGAGATGATTACCCTCAACAAGCTCAAGCCACACAACAATTACACATTTTGTGTAGGATCCATTCGCAACTCTCAACGTTATAACCACACCTGCCTCCAGTTTTCCACTCGGGCTCAAAATCAAGATGACATGCTCCCCACACCTTCCACCACTACCCACTACATAATGACTATTGTGGGCTGCCTTTTCGGCATGCTCATTGTTTTAGGCTTTGTCTACTATTGTCTGCGTAAGAAGCGAATGCATGATGAGAAGAAGAAGTCCATCTGTGTCAAGAAAACAATACTGGAAATGCGCTATGGACCAGAAGTGGCAGCTGCAGTGGCAAATGATCCATCGGCGGTCCATAAGCTTCAGGAGCAGTCGAGAGAACATCACCAGTATCAGCATCACCATGGTGGCAAACTTCCCATGTCCACATCCTCTAGCTCAGGAATGCTCCACTCAGCCAACACCAGTTCCTCCAGACTTTCCTGTATCCCACAAGTAGAAAAGATGGCCACTGCCTTTTCAGAGGCCATGGCTACAAGTAAAGGAAATTATATGGATGTCAGAACTGGAGGGGTAGGAGATGGTGGGCATGGAGGGATGAGGGGGGAAGACTTGAGGGATGATGATGGAACTGATGTTGGGGATGACTCCGATGATGATGGCCATGGCTCTGCATCAGAGATATCCACCATTGCGATGGAGGTGGACAAGGTTAACCAGATTATCAACAACTGCATTGATGCGCTGAAATTAGATGCAGCAGCAGTTGCTGCTTCTGGGGCCTCTACTAACCCTACAGCCTCCTCCAATCCCACCTCCCCCCCGCCCACCAGTGCATCCTCCCTTACTCGTGGCTTAATTCCACTCTCCCAAGGGGTGACAGAGACTTGCCAAGTCATAGCTCCTAACAAAATACCCCCACCACCTCCACTACCTGCCTTGAATGCCCCTCTCTCTGAGCGCCCAGGGATCAGTGGTGGTGGCTTTGTCATCAGTCCCCCCTACAGGCCCCCTCCTCCAGCCACTGCTGTACGTCCAATTCAGCGACAAATGAGTGCAGATGCAGCTGTGGTTATTGTAAATTCTGTCAAGAAACAGTGCAGCACCAACTCTTGTGGTTCCATGGGTCGGGACAGGGAACGTGGAGGAGCGAGGGTGTATAGCCTGGATGTTCCTGAACCTAGGAGTCCAGATGCATGTAATCAACAACAGCAGCAGTACCCAGACAGGGCCAGTCCCTTGGGATGTGGGGAGCCCCTAGAGAGGCTGCCTTTAGTGGGGAGTGGGAGCTGTGGTGGAGGGGGTGGTGGTGGTTGCGACAGTGGTGGTGTTGGTGCCCAACATCAGGACAGTCAAAAGCCGCACCATTACCATCAACAGCAGCAAATGCAGCAGCAGCAGCAGCAGCAGCTGGAGGTGCAGCAGGACTACCACTGCTCGGAGCACCGCCACTCTGTCCCAGCTCTCTACTATGAAGGCTCCCACCAGGGCTCCCCAGCTCAGAGGGTTTCTTTCCTAAAGCCTCTGACACGTTCAAGGAGGGATGCAGCATCTTACTCCCAGCTTTCGCCTGCCCGCAACCATTCCAGTTACTCTGGCTATTCCTCCAGCCCAGAGTACACCTCAGAGAGCTCACTGCGGATCTGGGAGCGCTTTCGTCCCTACCGTAAAGGCCAGCGTGATGAGGCCTGTTATGTGACAGCCGGAAATGCCCTTCGAAAAAAGGTGCAGTTCGCCAAAGGCGAGGACCTGCATGACATCCTTGATTATTGGAAAGGTGTGTCAGCACAGCAGAAGCTGTGATGGTGGGACCAAAGTTAAGTATTGTGGAAAAAAGAGTTTGAATACTTCTTTTCCTGATAGGCCAGTGGGCTAGAGAAACCATTTGAAGTTCACGGGGAGATAAATGTACAACAAAATTTTGCCTTTGGGTTATTTTGGCATGCTCGATGTATAGAATATTGTGCTAAAGCAAGGACTGTGAAACTGTGCCTGGGATACGAGAGTAATTATGGTGTTTTATTTTACACTTCACTGTAGCCCCATTTCTGAATAATGTTCATGTAGTTTTTGTGGGTTTTATTTACAGCACAGGAAGCAAATGCCAGCTGTGGGATTCATACTGTGTGAGTGATCTTATATTGTGACCTATGAACCGTCTTTATCAGTGCCATGTTTTCATCTGTGGGTAATCACTGACGGTAAATGTTGATACCCTTCACCTCAAGGATGTGGGATCCAAGAGGTTTTTTTCATATGATCTGCAGTGTGTGTACTTGGGTGTGTTAGGACTTCTTCGTGGAGGTAGATTATAATGGGGTGGAAATCCTGCTCTGTTATAAATGACAAAATGCTGATCTGTCAACAGATTTGTCCAATGCAAGCCCTGTGTCTCTTCCAGGAGATCTGTCCTGCAGCTGAGATATTTGCATTTCAATAGCATTTGTCACATAGAGAGAAAGGAGAAATTAGAAAGAAATAAAGAAATAAACCATGAACAGAGAGTCAGGTGGGCTCACAATTCCTGCAGCATAAGGAAATCATTAAGAGAGATTACAGTAGAGCCTTCACCTAAAATAGTGCTGTGATTGCACCCTGAGGTGTTGAGCACATCTTTCCAATTTACAATCTTGCATAGTTCATTGAGCGATGTAAAGAATGTTGTTCCACAGATTTCCAAAACTGCCCAAAACAGACTTTGCCTAAATAATTATTTTAATATGACAGAATACTGATGGCCAAATAATGTTCCCTTTATGAAGGTAATTATGTGCTACCAACCTGTGTATAATAGGAAGGGAGAGAAATTGAAAGTGAGAGGGTGTATAAAAGCGATGGAATAAATTATTTCCTGCAGCCACTGTGAATGTAAGTAGATTACAAGCAGGTTACGGGGAAATCTCTTTTGCACCACATTGCATTCCAAATCATATCAACGTTAAACGTGAATGCGGCGCAGAGGGAAAGGACATGTCTATTTACTGCCAACATGTCTGTTCTGGGAATATTCTTGTTGTCTATTGATAACTTAATTAGCCAACTAGTGACAGGCATGTTTGTTTGCACTTTATGCCTCATGATTGTGTGTGGATGGTGGTGCACAGTGGTCAGTATAAGTGGGTGTTGGCATGCCTTGTCAGATTATATTGTATATGCCCTGAATTGATTTAAATTGATAGTTGTCAATATCTTGCCCAGTGGCTGGTTGTTTAAACAATACTAGATTATAAATGGCATGGACAAATGTACAAATATCAACAGTGTTAAATGTATTTTCCCACGTGTGCATCACACAACGCTCAGATATTCGTAGCATAGTGCCTCTTGCCAACATGGCCATGATCTAATCTCCATTATCCATCATCGACCTGGCCTTTTCTATTCAAATCATCTATTTGTGATTTTGCAAAAATTATAGTGTCATTGCCAGGCATTCTGACAAAAAAGCATCCTGCTCACCCAAAGCGCTGTGTAACCGTTAAAAAAAATCATGCATCGTCAGCCAACATACACAATCTGAGACATCCTACCCTAAAAATGTGAAAACTGAATCCTCACACTCTTTTTCATTTAAGAGAAGCAACGTTATAGTAAAAAGTTTCATTTCAGGATTGTTTTCATCTCTTTTTCCTGCTTTGCTTATTGTGACAGTGATCATTTGGCCCATCTAACCTGTATGTACAGGATTGGGATGAGCAGGATACCTAACACAACCTGCTCTGTTTAACTAAATGATACATGTTAGAGATTGCCTTTCTTATAGGCAGAATTCGGGTCTGTGCGACATTTTACATTTCTCATTTCTTCTTTTACATCTTCTCGATAAATGCGGGTTGAACAAGGATAAGTATACAAATGTTAAAGGGAGCTGTGTACTGATATCTTCATATTGATCTCTGTATTGTGTCCTGTTTGTTTACATTTATCGCTCTCTTTTCCCCCCTGTTTTATTAAGATGTGTGCATACAGTCTGGGTCAGGAGGTCATATCCCTTGGAGTCAGTATTGTGCTGTGAGTGAGCAACACATAACATCAAGGGCCTCGCTGTCATCTTTTAGTCATAACGTGTCTGGGATGCACCTCCTCATCCACTGTGTTTAAATGATTCGATGAACATACATGATGATGTTCTGTTATCTGAGATTACAACCTTTTCTAAAGGAATTTATCACTGTTGAACTCCCCAGAGTCTCAACTGCAACAAGTTTACAGACATGGACACTAAGGATAAGAGCAACAACAAATTCAGAAATGTATAGTTTGTTTCATCTACAGGACAAAATAAAATGTTTTCAATACATTTTACATAACAACACATTATTAGATTTTCAGAGAATAGATCTATGTTCAATTGCTCTTCTGCTCAAATTGCTATCAAACTTAATGGTTTTTTTTCAATCACTCTTTATGATTAACCAGCATTACTGGCCCGACTGCTTTCGAACTTTCGAATCATTTATAAACTAAACCATCAAACTAACATTTTGAAGGGATAATATTTCTCATGATTAGAGATTAATAAAAAAAATCATGTTGATTCGACAATTCTAATCTCTATGCAAAAAATGATTGAAACAAAAGATATTGACAGGTTTGTTTCAGTACTGGACTCCTAAATAAACCTCTGCTTTTCATTATTACGTGCTCTGCTATAGCAATAGTTGGTGGTTTACTCCACACTGTTGCAGTAATTGCCCCTAGAACCTGACGGGTATTTAATAACATTCTACTTTTCCGTTGAGGTTATTGGACCATTGAGGATGCAGGATTGATGCTTTCAATACGTTAAGAGCCAGGTCAAATAATTTACCAGCTGAATTGTTAAAAACCTATCAACATATATACTTACTATGTACTATATACTTACTATGCGTTTTGTCTGCAGCACAGAACCAGCACAAGAAATAAAAACCCTGTCTTATATCTGCATCAATCCCCTGTAGGGCGGCTCACTCAGAGATCGATGGTTGTTTTTTGTAACACCATCCTTGTTGTTTGTCTCCGAGCCACGGGAGAACCAGACATGAGAAACTTATCTAATGTGCTATTACTCTTTAATCCCTTTGTAGAAACCACGGACGCTTTCAGTTTCCAACATGTTAATCCTTATGATGCCGTCTTATATTTAAAGCCTGGTCCAAATAGCCGACTCTGGTCGACCATTGGAAAAGGGAACAGACTCCATTATCTGAAGGAGACAGGATTGGATGAAAGAAATTAGTACGACCTACATAACTGATTAATATCACAACACAGTATAGATGACGGAATCAGGATGAGTCACAGTCTGATTAAACTAAAACAACAGCTTTTTTCTTCAAAGGCAGGCAATGGGCAAAGTCTTCAAACAGAAGAGAGCGGATGAGAGAGGATTTTTTTTTGGCTGAATGCAGGCAGACATCCAGGATAAAAGATGTGGATGCATGGCTGCACTAAAACTTACCATGCATGAATCAGTGCACCGCTCAAACAAACCGTAAAACCTGTGGGAACAAGCTTTTACATTTCTTGCATCTGAAAGCAGCTCTCCTTAAGGTGGACGGCCTCATTTCCGCTTGATTTTAAAGCAGGTGACAGGCAGGTAATAACACCGTTTCAAAACGTTTCTTTTAATATCTCTTGACCTT